ACGTCTATAAACAATAAAACATAGGGAGGAATAGGAAATATACTGCAAACCCACAATAAATAAATGTTTATATGTTGTACATTTTGTGATCCTGCTCAAGAGAACACTAATGAAATTAGGTTTGTGCCTCACTGCAGTAATAATAATGATAATGTCTGAAGATTTCCAGCTGGGACTCAATCCAGAAATACAATAGAGCCAATAATTAAAATGCTTAACCCCTTAAGGACAGAGCCAATCGGACAAGTTGTGATCAAAAGAAAGCATAAACAAAACCTGGAATTTGCGCTATATGTTTTTCAACCATAATTCACCTCTTTCATATGAACCCCTTCAGGACCGGACTGTTTTGGCCATGTTGTACGTTAAGGACCAGGGCTGTTTTAACACTTTTGTGGTGTTTGTGTTTAGCTGTAATTTTCCTCTCTCTCATTTACTGTTCCCTTACAAGTTATATATTGTTTTTTCAGGCCAAAAATGGCTTTCTTTAAATACCATTATTTGTATAATGTCATATAAATTTCTTTTAAAAAAATTTATAAAATATGGTGTAAAAGTTAAAAAAAACATGGTTTTTGGCTTTTACTTGAAAAATATTTTACGTATCTACAAAAGCTAATGAAAAAAAAACTGCTAAATAGATTAAAAAAAATTTGTTTAAAAACAGCCAGTCTTTAAATGACTTTTTGCAAGCTATAGGTCTATAGATACAAATAGGAAATTGCTGTTTCAAAATATATATTTTTAAAATGTATCAATAGTGACATTGTAACACTGTTATCTGGCACAAATCTCTGAATCAGACCTCACATGTTCATATTATTTTAAAGTAGCCAACTCAGGGTATTCAATATGGGGTATGTCCAGTCTTTTTTAGTAGCCACTTAGTCACAAACACTGGCCAAAGTTAGCATTTATATTTGTTTGTGTTGGACATACCCCAAAAAACAATTATGAAAGGATTATTTTTCTTATATATATATATAAGAAAAATAATCCTTTCATAATTGTTTTTTGGGGTATGTCCAACACAAACAAATATAAATGCTAACTTTGGCCAGTGTTTGTGACTAAGTGGCTACTAAAAAAGACTGGACATACCCCATATTGAATACCCTGAGTTGTCTACTTTAAACACACATATCTAATTATATTTTTATTTCTTTAAAAATATATATATTTTACACATGTGGGGAGACTGCCTGGCAGTCTTCCCACACTGGGACCAACGCCGATCACTGCCGGGGGAACGGCGGCGATCAGGTAAGTACATAATAATAATCTGCATAGAAATGATATTGGAAGCCAAAGGAGCTAATGAGTTTACCAAGGGAGGCAGTATAGATGGAGAACAGTAGGGGACCAAGGACTGAACCTTGGGGGACACCAACAGAGAGGAGTTGGGGAGAAGAAGCAGAGCCAGAGAAATAAACACTGAAAGAGCGCTGGGAGAGGTAGGAGGAGCACCAGGAGAGAGCAGTATCTTGTAGACCGATATTGCAGAGGATGAGAAGAAGCTGTTGATGATCAACAGTGTCAAAAGCCGCAGACAGGTCAAGGAGAATTAGAATAGAGTAGTGACCACGAGATTTTGCAGCGAGTAGATCATTGGATACTTTGGTCAGTGCCGTTTCCACAGAGTGCTTAGCGCGGAAACCAGACTGAAGTGGGTCTAGCAGAGAGTTGGACTCAAGGAAGTCTGTCAATCTCGCATACACAATTTTTTCAAGGATCTTGGATGCAAAAGGCAGTAGCGAGATAGGACGATAGTTGGATGGGGAGTTAGGGTCAAGATTGGGCTTCTTTAGAATTGGGGTTACAGTTGAATGTTTGAAGGACAATGGAAATATACCAGAGAGAGAGATTGAGAATTTTAGTGAGAGGTGGAGAAAGAGAAGAAGACAGAGTACGGATGAGATGCGAGCAGGGCCGGACTGGCCCACCGGGAAATGTTCTGGCAGCCACACGGGGGAGCTCCTTTGGCAGCCGCAGGGGGGAGCTGGCTGTTCTGTCTCTGCTCCCCCTCCCCTGCGCGCCGCTTAATGAGACCGGGGCCGGAATATGATGTCATACTCCGGCCCCGGTCTCTTTGTAGTGCGCAGGGGAGGGGGAGCAGAAAATTATTTTATCGAAGGATAGTGATCATATAAAGCCATTTATTATCACATAGTTGTTTTACTCCTTTTTAAATCATAATAATAACAGAAATCACCCAAATGGATCTGATCAAAAGTTCATATATGCTTGAGTATTTGGCCTTGTTACAGACACGCAAGGTGACACACACAGGTTAAAATGGCAATTAAAGGTTCATTTCCCGCACCTGTGGCTTTTTAAATTCCAATTAGCATCTGTGTATAAATAGTCAATATGTTTGTTAGCTCTCACATGGATGAACTGAGCAGACTAGATACGGAGCCATGGGGAGCAGAAAAGAACTGCCAAGAGACCTGCGCAACAAGGTAATGGAACTTTATAAAGAATAAATCTGATTTTGTGACTGGACCTTAGATCCAATCATGACTGCACAAGTTTGGCCATAATTCCTTAGAAAACATTTTGGAAATTCAACTAAATTATTTGTTAAGAAAAGTTGGTTGTAGAAACAACCAATAAGCCAATCATAGTGCTCTGCAATTAACTTATCACATTGAGAACACCATCCGAACAGTGAAATATGGTGGTTGTGTTCCCATCTAATCTGACAAAGTTTGAATATTTTGGCAAAATATTGCAGGATCCAGATATCCAAAGCTTTCTGAGACATACTGTCACGCCGCACATTGTTGCGGTGGCATTCCCACACACTAAAGGGAATGCCGCCGGATGCTTACCTTTCCAGCAGATGCCCGCCGGGTCCGGGCATTTCTCGGTCCCGCGTGGCAATGGGAGTGCACCTGACCCGGGTGGTAGCTCCTAGTCACACAGCGGCCGGATCTACAATTAATAGAGACACAGGCTGCTGAGGCTTTGTAGATTTTAAGGGTTTTACACATTCACCCTTAAAGTGCCATATCAATTTTAATCAATTAGGTGTATGACAAACGCCCACGATCACATGGTTCCATGCAGGCAATCAGGAAGCATCTTGGAATATATAAACATGTTCTGTCCATTTCTCTGTGCCCTGTCGTGGTTTCCATTGTGGTTATCCGAGAGAGCGTTCATTGTATTGATTCTTGTGTATTTGACCTTGGCTTCCCTTTTGACTATCTGATCTCTGTATTCCTTGACCTTTGGCTTGGCTCCTGACTATTCTGATATCTCCATTCCTTGACTCGTGGCTTGTTCTTCGTTTCTGTTATTTATACGTCTTCGTCTTTATCCTGTCTTGTGGCTTTTTCCTTTATACGTTAAATCCGGCCATTCTATGGCCCGGTAATACGTCTTAGGAATTTTCGTATATCTACTTATGTTCTGCGTGTTGGGCATCAACAGTAATCCTGATAAATACCCAATAAATATAACTGCAGCCTTAGCTAGTTCTTTCAATTAGGACTTGGAGTGAATCTTGAAAGTGTTAGGTATAAGAACAAAACAAATGGTAAAAATCCATATAAAATTTATTTCATTTAGGTTATAACACTACAAGTTGCAAAAACGTCCAAAGGGAAATGGCCACTACATGATGCCCTAGTTTTTTTGTCTGTGTTGTTTCTTTTGGTTTGAAGGTTAAAGGGAAAACACCTTGTTACACCCATATATACACCACAGTTTGTATTATTATTGGTTTCTTACCTTGAGAGCTACCATATGAACGCAGTTGGTAGGAAGGCAAAAAAAAGAAGAAGTGCCGATACGCAAGGTAGAGGCATGAGAACCCTCTCCCACTGCCTCTCTTATATGGGGGAGGTTTCACGGCAAGGGTACTCAATTCATTGTTGCACTTTAGAATATTGCCATTTAATGTAATTTGTGTAGTGCATATATGAACTGGTTGCCTGGTAGAGGTGATATTGTCAGTTTCAAAAGGGGTTAATTTGATTGTATGGGAGGTCAGAGCTTACAACCTCTTTGAAACTCAGACCCCAGCAGAGCTACTCTTTAAGGTGTGAGAAGTCACACATAAGTGGCCTGGAAGTCTGGTTTCAATATAAACTAACTCTCTAATTTGCCATGTGTCTTGATTCCCTCTTAGATAAGGCGTCCTTGTGTTCCAATATCAAATCCAAAAGAGACATTAATACCTACTCACAGATTAATAATTACGCCTCCTTTCTATCATATTTAGACTAGGACAAGCACAATCTTCTAATCAAGCCTAAACATGATTTGTGAACAGAAGGGGCCCCACAAAGTTGGTTCATAAATGAACAAGGGGGGTACGGACAGCAGAACAAAGGGAATAAAAGTGTAGTTAGGTCCTCTATCCTGCTACATATATAACTCCCGAACGGAAAAAAATGAAAAAACACATGAACAGGGGCAAAGTATACTAAAAAAAAGGTGGTAAGGGCTTGGCCACAGCTTTATTAAGCATTTCAATAACGAACCACTGTCGGCTGAAAAGGCACCGACCCCCATCGAAAGTATCATTCACTGAAGTTTGGTTCCTGCTCGATCACCACAGCAGGATCACCCTCTCCCAATGCTCAGTATTAAGCTACCTGTTAAATCTAGGCACTGGCCGGGGTACATTCATCTGCTGAAAAACAAAACACCACAACAAAAGAATAAAGGGGAGGCACTCTGACAGTTAGTTTTGCCAATCTCTTAAGACAGTGTTCTGTTCTCCTTTGCTGCCATCCACTGACTACATTGATTGAAGAGAAAATTGAAATAAATCATTTCAAAATAAAAATTACAATTGTACCCTAATATAAAATGAAAAAAACTATGCAAATGTGTATTTAAAAAAAAAAAGTATTCCTCTTTTTTTTTTTAAATCAGCCGACACTACCAACACCAATAAACCAGTTAAGCAGATGTTCCAAAATGAAGATCAATATATAATTATAAGACTTTTTTTGTTTTTGATTGAGTTACAGTGTATATTAAAACGTACATGCTGCTTTTCGTCAGTTTTACATGGCAGGATTATTCCTACTTTTAATAATAAATGTTGTACTTCAAAGAAAAGTTCTAAGGTTTAAAATAGCAGAAGATTAGAGGTGTCAGTTCCGAGAAGATTCAGAGATTGGACGCTTTGGAGGCCTTGAAGCCTGGCTGCATTTTTCTTTAACAGTTTAAGGTCATCCTTGATCCGAGTCTGGGTCAGCATTTTCACAGCCTAACACATAGCAGTCAAAGGAGGGCATCTTCTGACTTTTGGGCAACAGTCAAGGAAAACCTTTGATGAAGCGAGTGGAATATGTGGTAGCTGCAAGTGTCTGTTGATGGCCACATATACATTGAAAAGAAGAATGATACAAGTAACTGGCGAGCAGAAGATCCGCAAGTGTTCAATACGTGAATATATACATTATTACACTGAGCATAATTTAGCTTATTACCAACTGGAATACCAATAATTCTTCAGTTAACTCACTAAACAACTTCTAATTAATAAATTGTACATATTTATAGCCTGCTACAAAATGTTCTCATTTTATATATTTCTGAATGGAACCATATGATATGTATATTAAAACTCATACCATCTATTGTACAGCGCTATGGAATTTGCTTGCGCTATATAAATAATAAAATAATAAAAGAGTAATAATCAACAACTTCACTGCTTAGTTTATAAAAATATTTATATATATTTGAATACATAGAATGGATAGCTAGCATATGGGACTAAGACAAAGCAACAGTTATGAGATTAGTGGGAGTTATACTCCCGAGTTGCAACTCCCTGGGCAGTATCTCCCACTAATCTTGAGCAGTGCCTTAACACTAAAGATTTCCTCTTAAACTCCATAGTATACATTAACCCGACTCCTCGATACACTATCACTAAATAATAAGCCCTAAAGCTACACTACAGTTAAACATTAACCCCTTAAGGACCAAATTTATGGAATAAAAGGGAATCCTGACATGTCACACATGTTATGTGTCCTTAAGGGGTTAAAGGGGCACTATAGTCAACAAAACAACGTTAGCTTAATTAGGCAGTTTTGGTGTATAGATCATTCCCCTGCAGTCTCATTGCTCAATTCTTTGTCATTAAGGAGTTAAATTGCTTTGTTTATGCAGTCTAATCACATCTCCCTGCGTGTGACCTGCACAGCCTTCCTAAACATTACCTATAAGTGAGAAGTAATGTTTACACTTTCTTTATTGCACAGTCTATTTAATTTAGAATTTCATACCTCCTGCTTGCTAAACCTTGCAGGAGTCTCATGTGTGCTATTTAAGTTCATTTTATAGAGCAGGAGATAAAAACTTCAAAAGTAAGTTACCATCTGATTTAAAAATTAAACCATTTATGTCAGTCACAGCCGGGAGAGGTATGGCTAGGGCTTTCAAAGTGGAAAAACAGGTGTCCATCGCATACAGTAGAGTGACATTTGCACCTTTTCTCAGTTACACTCACAGTAATTTGCAGAGTCTGGAACACAAGTTCATAAACAGTGGGACATGGCATTATAAAAGAAAATTTAGGATGCCAAGCAATAAATGCACAAGAACTATGTACAATTATTCATTGGAATAGACAATTTAGAAATGTTTATGAGTATCATATTGTCATGACATCTTACATGAAGGGGACAGAAAAAAAATACATTAACTGAGCACATTAAATCAGACCTCAAAGCCCATACCTCAACCAATTGTACCAGTATTGGTGGCAAAGGACATTACTAAACACTATACCTCAGCACAGGGAGAGTTGGGCATAACTCCAGAAGAATAAACAAAGAAATATACTAATAAAGAATTCAAATTATGGTGACCAGAGTCTTAAATAAAGATAGGATTAAGCTAGAGTCAACCATATTGCCTGTAGTGAGAAGCAGCCAGATTATCAGTAGGCAAGTAACGTTCTGACACTCATGAGCCACTCTGCTCTGAGATTGATGAGAGGTGCTCTCTGGCTTCTTCTGCACTTTCAGACTTTTGGCGAGATCTGTAGGATAACAGGTTCACACATCTGACTCCATTGTCTGCCTGGTCACAGCCTCTTGTGTGCTTGGACTAATGAGGAATCATTAGACTGAACAGCATCAGTAGGCCATGATTAACTGGGAGTTTCAGCCTATCATAGCACCAAATTGCTGGCATTGATTGGTATGGCTAGAAGGAAGAACCTTAGCCATACCTATAGTTATACTGCTTGAAAATAGTTTAACACTGAATGGGGACACCATAGCTGGACACCATAATCAGCTGAGATAAAATGTTATTAGTGCCTACAGATTAAAAAAAAAAATAATCTCCAGCATACCTCATAGTTAAAGGAACACTATTGGCACCCAGACTACTTTATCTCACTGAAGTGGTCTGCATGCCATGTGCCACTTCTTTTAACCCTGCAGTTGAAAACATTGCCATTATTGTGGCTGTACCAGAGGTGATTCTGTAAAATAGCAGAGTAAAAGCTATTTTAATTAAATGGTCTCAGGAAACCATCTGGTTAGCTCAGTGTTTTGTCATGCATGCACACTAGTCTCCAGATGCTTTCCCATGAGAAAGCATTGCATTATCTGAGATTATCAACACTGATGATCTCAGCCAAAGAGGCAAGGCTTGAACGGAGAGACTGATGCTGCAAGAGAAAACAGGCAAGCTAACTGCCTTTTTTAACAGAGCACTGGCCTGGTCACTGAAATGGTGAATTGGGTGCTATAGCCTTAGGAAAATATATCTGTATTCCTAATGCGTTAGTGTTCCTTTAACATATCTATAATACAACATGAGTAATCAAATTTAGATTACTATTCCATGCATCAAATTAGATTAGGGTCAATCAAAATTGGTCATGTGGTGGGATTGGTCATGTGTTCCCATACTTTTCCCCTGGGAAAGATGGCTTTATGTAAATATATATTATAGTTCCTATAACTCAGCGATCTGCTGATCCCCTTGATTATTGTGAGATAAATTAGCAGTACAAATATAACCACAAAGTTCTCCATCTGCAAATAGCTCTAACCATATTCCTTGAGAGATACGAATAGTATTAAGCCTTTCACACTGAAATCACCTCCTTTTCCCCTCTTTTATAAGTTTGAAGCAGCATTTTTGCTGACTTTATACTTTATTAAATCATTTTTAAAATATAGAGGTTCGAAGGTAGTACTTTATTCTCAGCAACTCATGTGCAGTAATGCAGTGATGATCTTTGTGAAGGTCAATGGCCCCGTTATTCTTGGAGGAACGGACATACCATAAGATGGATGGAGTTAGTTCCATCACTGTATTTTCATGTGGCTTTAACTAATCAAAAAACAGAAAATCTTTTTTTTTTTCTTATTTATTTTTAACCCTTCCACCGCTACAAAGGCCTTCAAATTAAAACTATCTTGCAAGTGTCAAGGTTAACCAAGGACAGTGACCGTTTTATACTCATTAACAGCCTGCAAGTTATGTGTGTCAGTACATTTGGATCACACTTAGGCATGATTGGATCACACTTAGGCATCAGACAGGAAAGATGGGCATCATATACCCCATACTTGTTTATAGGGTGTGAAGAAGCAGGAAGATGTATTACTTCCTGCTTTATAGGACAGTACTATAAATAAAGGTGATGTGTTTACATAAATACTGTTGCCTGCATTCATTATTACAGAATGTGCTTCTGCCTAATAAAATACCATCTTAGTTAAAAGATTCTAACAGAATTCAGACCCGATTGTAGCCATTTCAAGACCTATAGATACATTACTGAGCCTAAGACACTCCAGCAGGTTAGGGCAAATGTGTTAACGATCCATCTACTTAAATGGATAACCAGATGATTATATTAACTTTCTTTTAATGTATTTTGTAGACAGCAAAATCATTTAGATCTAAGGTTGGTGGAGCCAGGTGCACATTAAAATATTGGGTCTTTATCGTCAACAAATTATTAAAAATCTTCCTGAAAGGGTTACTATTTTAATGGGGTGCAGCCTTGAAAGCTTGTACAGTGTCTGTCACTAAAGGGGGAGATTGTGTGTATAATTTAGGGGTAAATTCCAATCACACGCTTGATTGTTATCGACATATTAACGGCCGCCATTTGGCTGTTAATAATAATAACTCTGAATTGTAGCAATCTCAAATCCAGATGGCAAAACTGAGATTGAAATAGCTGATTTGGAAATCAGAAAAAATTAAAGACAAATGAAAGGTTATTAAGAATGTCTAAGGGGTGTACCTTATATATCAATCAGTAATGTCTTGGGAGCATTACATACTGTTAAAGATGCTTAGAAAGAAAAATAAAATATATTGGTCATTTTGCAAGAAATATATAAGCATAGAGTGTAAGCATACTTATGATATATCTAAAAGTTAAAGCATTGAAAGAGCAAAAAAAAAATCAATGAACACTTGCAAACATTTAATTATGCATTTTTCATTGAGGCTATATCTAAAAACAGTTTGCAAATGCTGCCGATGTCTTGTCTGCTGCTTTTGTAAGCAGACTTTTTGTGGCTGTCCAATTACAGACTTCCTAATGCAGCACAATGAGAAATATTTGTAAACAGGTTAATTTACAAAAAAGCCAAAGTCGCTTTTTATAAAATGAAAAAAAAGAGGACACACTTTTTTATACATAAAGCACTTAAACAAGCTGAGGTGTTTTAGGGGTTTGAAGTGTCCCTTTAAACACCGTCTTTTAGGGACTTTCCTGAATACGAGAAAAACATGGTTGCGGTAGTTTACTGCCATGGTAGAATCTCCCACCATGGCCGCGGACTCCACTCCCCTGTGCCCTTTTCAGGTTTTTTTTCCTCTGACGCGATCTCTCCCCCTACCTGTATTGCGGCAGCCATCTTGTCCATCTTCCATTTTTCCCGCCTTCTTTCCTCCTAAATGTTTTTCATTACGATTAGCCTCTAAGGTTTTCTGATTTCCTTCATTCTTTTTCTTCCAACACATTTTTTAATTACTTGAACCTGCTGCTTCATTCTAAAGGGCTTGTGTGGGTAACCCCCACTATTTATATTGTCATACTGACTTTGTGGCTATAACCCCATTCCATACTATACTTGGTATTTAATCACACTCATTAAATTTACAAACTTAATGTATTAAACTCCACCTCTTGTCTTACTACTGTGAGTGACCCCCACTGTTTTCTGCCATTCACTGTGTGGGCTAACCCCACTAATTGTTGCTGTGGGTGCCTGTGGCTCATTTCTTCTATTAGACCGCACAGACGGGTCTCCTCTCCCACGATTGCATGCTGGGCCAGATGGTTTCTCACTAATGCAGGAAGTGACCAATCTTTTGGTGCTCATTCGGTTACAGGTGGGCAGTTCTTTGTCAGATATTTTATCTTCAGCAGATTGGTCCAGAGAATTCACCTTACAGACCTTTTATTTCAAACCTACTCTGTCTTTTCATACAATTAGGGAATAGTCTAGTTTAAGGGACTGAATAATCTAAATTTTATTAAAGACGGGAAGCGAATATTTTCCCTCCCTTACAATAGTTTTCTCCCACCCTTCAAGGTAAGCCCCAGACGCGAATATTTATTTGTTTACTCCGGATTACGAGGTAAATCGTATACCAGTTGTTGTTATATCATATGCTGTTGCCATACCATGTGGACTATAGTTCAGTTTTTAGATTGTTTAATATAACTTAAACTCAGACTTTAATTCAAGTTATCTTAAAATTACTTGTGAGTATTGAATTTCTCTTACCCAAGAGACCATACTTTCACGGTTCTCTCTCTTTTTCTCCTAAAGTGAAGTTTTCGCATTGACCCTGCAGGGACTTCCTAATCTGTTTTTGTACAGTTCATTTATATGGTTGACTTCATAAGGAATCTACTGGATCTACTGTTTCGTTAATAGTTTAGTTTACAAAGTTGACGCTACTACAGTTCGGCGACATCAAGAAAGAGGAGTTGGGAGGAGTCTGAGCACTGTATATTGCTGTTATGCATTCTGATTAGTTGAATTTTTTTACACTAATGTTAACTGTTATTTGCTGCTGGGAGTTTCAGTAAAGAGAGATAAGCAAATATTCACCTCCTATCTTTAATAAAATTTAGATTATTCAGTCACTTAAACTAGAATAATCCCTAATTCTGATTTACCAGTCTCTGGTGAAGTTTTTTAATTTTTATCCTGAATAGATCCTGAAGATGGGAGTTTTTACGTTTGTAAGTCAATCATTTCTCTATTAAATTTATGTTAAAGATGGTGATTTAACATGCATTTTATACCAAAATGATCATTAATATAGAGCTTGTTTACTGTGATAAAGCACTTACATGTCATAAATCATTATCATTACTCATAGTAAGATCTAGACAGATTGTGATATATTTAAAAAAAAAAAATCAATAACAATTAACTGGATATTATAATTCTACCTGCTATGTATTCCACTGGGACTCATTTGGTCAATTAGCGCTGTGTTTAAAATAACCATATGATATAAAGTCTGGCTAAGTATTGTAGGTAATATTTTAAGCTCAAAGCATATATATATATATATATACATATATATATATATATATATATAAAGAAGAAGGCAATAGAAATAGGAACTATTAACTAAACATCTCATGTGTCTTGGATGTATACGTACACATTATTATTATTATTATTTTATTATTTATATAGCTCCATCAAATTCCGTAGCGCTGTACAATGGGTGGACTAACATACATGTAACCAGACAACTGGACGTACAGGAACAGAGAGGGGGAGGGCCCTGCTCAATTAGCTCACATCATTGATCTACGCTAGTAATTGTTTTCTAATTGACCTACAGCTGCTTATCTATCAGATATAATTAAATGAATAAAGGACAAGAAACTGTATTCTTAAGAACCCACTTATTGATAATGTTTAATCAATAGGGAGGTCACAACGACCAGATGGCTGGTAAAATGAACAGACGAGGACAAAAGAAGGTAACAAGCACGGGACCTTCTGTTTCACTAATTGGGTTTACATATCAGCCCTACATTCCAGCACAGGATAAAATGGTTTTCCCACACAAATGAGCACACAGAATAATGTGTATTGATCATTATTATAAATGCCAACAAAGACATTGCAGTTCATTGTATCATTTCAATTGTTTTGCCTTGTAATGTAGTAGCTTAAGATACTACATTACATATATAAACGTGCTGTTCAAAGGCCGGTGGTATCACATCATTTGTGTAGAGATGTACTTTGTACAGGCATTGGGCTTTATTGCCACAAGCAAATGAATAAATTAATAAACTAATAAATACAACAACAACCTTAGATCCATAGATGCCATAGTTATCTTGCTGTATCTGGCCTGGCATGTTTTAATACGGATGTTCTCAGGATAATTAAAGAACCTGGAAGAAGACATCTGGAGCAGACAGTGCCAACAATAACGCACAACGGCCAATCATCACTACAGATTTAAGGATTGGGTTGGCTATTTATGAGGATGTCATACATTAAGGATGAGATTTTAATTAACTTGAGCACTATTACATAGTATACTACATAATAGAAATTCACAAAGCAGCCAGCATTATAAAAAATGGCCACACAGGCGGAGTTGAATTAGCTTTCATTAAACAATGTGTGGCATTCTATATAAATATTAGAAACGTGTTATTTCTACTGCTTGTTGTTTATTGTTGACAGTTAAATTAACAACCTACAGACAGAGCTTTAGTTTGTTTGTTTTGTTCTTAAGGGCACGAGCATGTTTTTATTATTTTCCTTTGTGTATGTTTAACCACAATTTTATTAAAGGACACGGAGGCTCCTATTATGCTAATCTCTTTCTTTATTCCTCAGCAGCAAAAGAAAAGATATTGTAGAAATTCAACGAAAAAGTCAATAACAAAACATCATGTACCCCAAAGGGTTAACCACAACATATTAACCAATGAGAGTGTTCCTAGCAAAATAACATGTCCCATGTGACCCTAAGCCACTCCTCTTTCTTTTGCTGCTGCCTCCTCAGCAAAGTACAATTTTCACCTCTGTCATAGTTTGGGAAATTGTATATGTATTTTTCTGTGTTATTTGGGTTAATTACCTTTATTTACCAGTGTGTGCCTTTTATTTGACCTATTTCTCCCTTTTTATTTTTACCGCTATGGGGGCCATGTCGGATAATATCTCCTATTCGATCACCAATGCACTGAGGTCCACTCAGCTACCACCAGCTCCCACTACTAGCCCCCCAGAAAGTAAACCGGTGGTCTCTAGTGGGCGTAACGCCGCAAAAAAGTCTCGCTATTTGGACGAGGATGCCTCCAAAACATTACAGACTGACAGGGTACGTCCTATCACAGATCATGTGGTTGCACGACACCTAAGAGCCCCACACCGGGCAAAATCGGTGAGGAACTGGAAGAGGGCAAAAGCCCTGATTGAATCCTCTGAATCAAAGCAAGAGGAGGCACAGAGCGAGTCCAATGATTCCAGCATTTATTTTCTGGAGCACAGCTCCATGACAGTAGCGGGAGCAGACCACAAAGATGGAGTTCACAACTCAGGGCGAACCGCTTTTTGATCCCGACACCTTACAACACCCGAGATCCTCGGAGTGGTATCCCCTAGAACATGTAGCGAAATATATCGCTGCTCGCATTAGATTTAGAAGCCATCAGGGGGTGTGTTACAAACTGCCATTTGTAACTGTTATTTTATTTGACAAATTGCCCTGCTTCCCTGTGTTATGGAGAAGCCTAATTGCCAGCCTTCTGCCCCATGACTATGGACCTAGTGTGTATGGCGATTTGACTGTATTTGTGGGATCTGAGCGCTGTTTGGATATATTGAGCGCTCAGATCCAAGCCATCTGGGGATAGGTTGAATGTGGGGGTTCTGTTCAGTTCAATAGGAGTTATGCATTTTTGTGTCTTTTTGTGTCTTTTGCTAACATGTGGTTAATGGAGTCTGCCTCTATCCCTGGATAATTGGATTACTTTCACCATTGTCCAGGATAGAGGGCTCTGTAAAACCGGTTTGGGCCAGAAAACCATGCTGCCAGCCAGGCCCCAAAAGACACTTTTGCTAACTTTTGAACCCCTTGTCTGATTTGTGCCATTTTTTAATATGTTGCTCCCCTTAATGGATTGATTCCAAATATGTAAGAAGATTGGATATGTAGTTTGGAAGTTATAGTACATGTATAAAAACTGTATTTTTACTGTTCTGTTTTAATTATGTTATGTGATTATCTGAGGGATGGGAATTTCCCCGAATGTATATTGTTCCGATTGGTTATACTGCTAATTATGTGGGTGTCTCCCTTGCATGGGCAGAATCTCATAAAAGCAGAGTGTGTGCCATTAAACATCAGATCTTCTTGACCCTCAATACGTAGCCTTGTCTCGTTATTGGAGGGAACTGCTATATCACACTGGGGATTGCTATGCTCTGCATACTCCCCTGAGCTTTTAATCACTTAGCTCTTTTAAGAGCTGTTCCTGTTACGCTCTCCTGGAGGAGAGGTCTTCCCCACACGGTCCTGGAGGACAGAAGCTGATCCAGGGTGGAAGGAAGACGGCGAGACTCCAGTTAAGCTACGGCGGTTGTGGAGTCTGCGGTGGTTGTGGTGTCTGCTGCAGTGTTTGGAGTCCTCAGGAAGCGCTAGGAGCATCCATCAACGGAGGGTACTCAGTCGGAGTACAGGGAGCTCCGTTACAGGGTGGATCCAGCAATCCGTATGTCTGCTGGGCAACGCCAATACTGCGGTGGCCACTGAAAGACGCAAGGCAATCCTTATTTAAAAAGAACCTAAGCTAGTGAACCTAGTTATTTCAGAGCCTGGACCCCAGGCAAAAGCCCTTCTGTTTGGAGATAACTTTGTTAAAGAACTAGGCACGGATGTAGGCACCTTTACGGCACTTGATAAAGCTCAAGCCAGCATGAAACAAGTGTACCACCAGAGAGTTTTTGGTGGAGCCAGCAGATATCGGGCCGTCTGCCCGGCCGCTCACCCCAGGGTTCATACCGGGGCTCTCGAGCCCCATACAGTCCAGGTTTATAGCACCTGAGTCCAAACATACCTCACCGTTCTTCCCAGTTCGGGGCAGACCATAGCAGTCTCGAGGACCCAGAGTTTCTTCCTATGGCCGACGACCTTATGGTAAGTTCAATGCCACTTCATCAGTCTTCATTAACAATGGTGGGGGGCAGACTGTGTCACTTTGTCAATGCACGGCACATGCTCACTTCAGATGCCTGGGTCCTCCACACTGTCCAAGGTTACTCTATAGATTTTGTACAATACCCTGTTCAAATGCAGCCCCCCCAACCACATGGTGTTCCCCACTCACGATCAATATCTGATATCATAGGAAGTTCAGGCCTTAGCCTCCAAGGGTGCAATTTCCGCAATTCACCCTCTCACACCAGGTTTCCTAAGCAACCTCTTCCTGGTACACAAAAAAGGCGGAGGCGTTCGTCCGTTCATCAACCTATGACCTCTAAACATGTTTGTCACATATCACCACTTCAAGATGGAAGATATACACTCTCTCTGAGATTTCCTGCTTACAGGGGACTGGATGGTCAAGCTCGACTTGAAGGACGCGTACCTCACGGTTCCAATGGCCGAAGACTGCCAAAAATGTGTACAATTCCAACATGAGGAGACCGTGTGGCGATTCAAATGCCTACCGTTCGGCCTCTCGTTGGCACCCTGGTCACAAAGCTCATGAAACCAGTTGCCCTCCTACGCAGCAGAGGAGTTTGACTCATAATATACTTGGACAATATCCTCATAATGGCGCAGGACCCTCATCTGCTCCACGAACATCTTTCTTGGACGAGGACTCTGCTAGACAACCTGGGTTTCCTAATCAATTGGGAGAAGTCGGTCACCAAACCCTCTCAATCAATAAAAATCCTAGGATTCACCATAGATGCTGTGAATGGAGCACTCCTACTCCCAACAACCAAAGTCAAATCCATTAAAAAGGAAATCTGACGGACGTTAGCACGTCCTGTTCTTACCCTGAGACAACTGACCAGGATTGTCTTTCTTCTCTCAGCGTCAATCCAAGCCATATTTCCCGGCCCTCTGCACTACAGAGCACTTCAACGACTGAAGACAAATACCTTTGTTTGGGGCACTCGTACTCAGACTCTGTTCCTCTCGACTGCACCGCTAAAGAAGAACTCAGGTGGTGGCTACAACACATGGAAGCATGGAACGGCCGAGCGATCTTCGGAACCACTCTGGACATCATAGTGGAATCCGATACAAGTATGCTCGGCTGGGGTGCGCGCTGCGGATCTACCTCCACCTGAGGAAAATGGTCCCTAGAGAAACAGGGACTACATATCAACTGCCTCGAACTGCTAGCAGGATTGTTTGCCCTACGGAGTCTTTTAAGTATATCGACCACCTGCTCCATTCTGTTAGGTTTGGGCAATATATCAGCGGTCCGCTATATCAACCACCTTGGAGGCACAAAGTCAACAATACTAGCGGAACTAGTGAAGGATTTCTGGCAGTTATGTCTGGATCGCAACATTTCAGTACAAGCGGAGTACATTCCTGGGGATGACCAACGTAGTGGCGGATTGGAATTCCAGATACCTATGAGATGCCAGCATCTGGCGACTGAACCCTGCCATCTACAGCCATTTACAGTCACTTTGGGGCCCCTTGGACATCGACCTGTTCCCATCACGCTTGAACACACATTTGCCGAAGTTTTTCAGCTGGAGGCCGGACCCGGAAGCTCTGGCGACGGACGCTTTCCTCCAACCGTGGCCGAATACCCGCCACTACGCCTTCCTTCCTTTCTCTCTCATCTCACGGACTCTGCTGCACCTCAGACGTCACTGAACCTCCTTGATCCTCATATCCCCCTTCTGGACGTCTCAGCCCTGGTTCCCTACACTCTTGAAAATGTCCATCTCCCGAGGTTACTACCAGTGATTACCGACCTCGTACTGGACCCCAACGGGAACTCACACACCCTCCTACTCCAGAGAAATCTCAAGCTCTTGGCATGCCTACTCTCAGGGGACCCTGCTACATCCCAAATGTTCCACAAACAACTCGGGACCTCCTGGCAGGGGCTTGGGCCCCAGGAACAAGGAGGTCATACCTACATGCCTGGAACGCATGGAATAGTTGGTGCATGGAACAACACGTGGATCCCATATCTGCAAATGTGAGTCAGGTATTAAGTTTCCTTACTTCACTTTTCGACCATGGCCTGGCATATCGTACAATCAAATTATATAGATCAGCTATTTCGGCAGGCCACCAAGGCTGGAATGGACTTCAAACAGGGAAACACCCATTGGTATGTCGACTTCTACGTGGCATCAAATAAATATTCAGCCTTGTGGGATGTTAGCCTCGTTCTCTGACTTTTTGAAAATTGGCCAAAGAATGAGGACCTTTCGCTCAAGCAGCTCACCGCTAAACTGGTTATGCTGTTTTGTCTAATCGCCTGTAAACGTGTCTCAGATGTCCGAGCACTGGACCTCGCGGCACGCTCATTTACACCAGAAGACGTTTCCTTCTATATATCGAGACGTTCGTAGACATCCATAACATCAGTTTTCTACCCAGTTTTTCCACATAACGTTAACCTATGTCCAGTAGTCTGCCTCAAGGAATATGAAGCAAGGACAGCTTCGGTTCGTGATCCCCAGTATCCAGATCTGTTTCTGGCAATTCGACAACCGCATCATCCGGTTTCTACAGTTACCATATCTCGCTGGGTTAAATGGATCATGGAGTCGGCTGGCATTGACACCTCCACGTACGGAGCACATTCAGTGCGGGGTGCTATGGCATCAAAAGCCTTTTCTTTAGGTTGCAGACAGGAAGATCTCCTCTGTGCAGCTGATTGGCCAAGCGAATCTACGTTCCGGGAATTTTATTTTCGTCCAGTTTCTCATTTTTCCACTTCAGTGATCACTCAGCTTTGAACTAGCATAATAGGAACCTCCATGTCCTTTAATAAAATTATCAGATTTTACTAATTTCATGACATAAAGTCATGATTTTATAAAGGACATGGAGGCGAGTATTATCGCACCCAATCCATGTAAGTTGTGCCCTCCCTGTGAATATACTGTCACGTAATGGGGCACGAGCCGTGTGGTAATGTGATTTTTTTCTTTCACCTGATTGTCTATTACTGGACTGACATATTGTTTTGGTTAATGTTGTAATATAGATGTGGAAATACTATCCAAGAATGTATTTTACCATTTAGTTTCTCTGTCTTACAGCCTCCTAATTGGGTTTGTCATACTGGTCCATGTCTGTCCATACAAGTTCAAGCAGAAGATTGCCAGTTTCTCCGGAGTTCCGTTACCGTAATCTCCCTGGAATCACGGTTTCTGCACATCTATTGGATTAAATTGTTCTGTCTGTGAGAGTGTTCATCGGCAACATCAAGAAAGAGGAGTGGCTTAGGGTCACATGGGATATTATTGTGCTAGGAACACTCTCATTGGTTAATATGTTATATGTGGTTAACCCTTTGGGGTAAATGATGTTTTGTTATTGAATTTTTCGTTGAATATCTACAA